GCGATTTACGCGGACAAATCAACGCTCTCTTGGCGGAAAATAAACACACTTTGCGATTTACGCGGAAAAAATCAACGCTCAACGGCGGAAATTGATAAAAAACAAAAGAAATTGGAATATAATTATGACATATATCGAATAGCCGATGAATCTACCACATTAGTACTACTAAATGCAGCCTAACCACGAGCAAGACACTAAATCGTATATTACGAATTACTTGGTGCTTTTAAAGAATTATTTGCCCGGAGCCGATTGACGCGGAGCTAACCAGTGGTATCCTGGTCTAAATCGATCTGCCTAAAAATGATTTTCGGGCGGTTAATATAGGGTTAGCAACATCGGCGTCTGTATGGGACTCATAGGAAAATTAATTCAAAAAAATTGAGAGGGAGCTCAAGGGTATTTTGCATCATCGCGTTTCTATTTTTCGAAACCCGGATAAATCTATGCGTAGTTTGAATTATTGCCTTATAGGTCTTATTTTTACGACTTTAAGCGGAAAACGTAAAGGTGATTTCATCATATTACAAATTTGAAAGTTAGAAAAACAAAGTCGTTAAATTATGATTATTACAAAGAGATCCGGGTGATTCGTATGAACGTCATCAAATCATGGGAAAGATGGGCCAGATTTCTCTTATACAGGCTTCCAGAGTATAGTAGATGGTAATTAAAAGTAAAGGTAAAACTAATTGTTTCTTAGGTACTAAATACAAAAATTTTCGCAAATATTTTGGAGCAAGTTGTGAACTACGTATGTCACAAATACAATTCGATACAATTGTATCTACTTATATATAATTGTATAAAGTTGAGAAGGCGAATCACATCAAATTTTGTATTATTTTATTCAATTGTGTCTAATTAGATATAATTCTATACAATTGTATCTAATTATATATTATTGTATAAAATTGTGTAAAGTTGTAAAAGCGAATCACATAAAACTTCAGATAATTTTATACAATTGTATCTAATTATATATAATTTTAAAAAATTCTCCTTCATAATTTTGAATAATTTTATACAATTGGATATAATTATATAGAATTATATATAAATCATATCCAATCATATATAGACGATGTACAATTATATTAAAATTATATATAATCCTATCTAATTATATAAAATCTTTTTTACTCAGGGGTACAAAAGAGTTTGAATTGAATTTTTAACTTCTCGCTAAGAAAATCGAAGATTTTCAAAAATCGGGAAGTTATTGTTTTCACCCCGTTTTGCAAAAATCGAGTTTTCATCAGATATCGACGTTTGAAGATCATAGGAAGCTTCCCTGACTACCCCTGCGATGTTGTCACTATGTCTTGTAACGGAGTACACGGGACCTTCTTTACCCAGAGAAGGTCTCTGATCCGTGTGAATTAGTTATCGACTGATTCCCCAGAGCGCTGTGCTCCAAAGTACTCGCGCCTCTAGCTGTAAGTTAGTGAGTCCCCAAGGGGGAAGCACCGGCGCGGAGAGTGAGTGGGGAAGACGGAGTGAAGTACGGAAGCCGGGTTGGCTCATTGGTGACTGGTAGACTAGTGGCACCGCACACGGCCACTTCCAACATGTGTACGCGTGCACACGTGTCCATGTGCGGGATAAATGCAGATTTCTACTTTATCTCGAAACAGTCATCAAAGCTGCGTATACTTTCAATCTCTGTCTTTTAACCGCCAAATTCTATGAGCAGCGTTACTTTGTGCATTACAGTTAAGCGTAGCTAAAGTTTTGTTTATCAGCTGATCCCATCTTTTTCTCGCGTTGCACTCACGGCGAGAAACGGTACTATTCTTGTTGCACTCGTGATGATAAAGCTAATTGCAGTTTTATGTTTTTCTCTTAAACAAATGAGAATTTCGAAATAAACGCTCTGACATAAAATAGATAATTAAAAAATCTATAACGTAGCAGAGCTTTTTTTTCGAAAATCTTCTTTGTTTAGAAGAGAAATGAAAAGCTGCAATTATAGGGACCGGCTCTTATGGTGAAAGAATTATTTAGTGTATCAATAAACTTTTCACGTTTAAATTCTTTTATTACTTTCTTATTTCGCTATAAACAAAACTTCAGCTACGCCTAACCTTAATGCACAAAGTAACGCTGCTCATAGAATTCGGCGGTTAAAAGACAGAGATGAAAAGTATACGTAGCTTTGATTACTGTTCTGGGATAAGGTAGAAATCTGCATTTATCCCGCACACGGATACATGTGCACTTGTGCACGCGTGCACATGTTGGAAGTGGCCGCGTGCGGTGCCAATAGTCTACCAGTCACCAATGAGCCAACCCGGCGTCCGTAGTGAAGAAAGAAACGCACCGACAAGATTTGGAAGATTCATTGTGACCGAACAGTCAAACCGAACGGACACGCAAAAATGAATAAACACCATAGTACAGGTAATAATTTTTATTTCGCTCACCGTAAAGTGGAACGAAGTGATACAATTCAATCAATTTATTGCTTGCTAGGCCTTCTGCTAGCTTGCGTAAATTGATTTTAATTTGTGATAATTTCTAATGCTGATTTGCGGTTACAGGTTTTATAAAATATCCGGAGAACGAGTGACGGTGACCAAAGTTTTGCCGCCAAGCAGATTTATACACTAAGAGGAATTTGTACCTGCACGGACGATAAGGAGTTGTAGCTCTTCGAAAGAGCTTACAAGCGTCATCAAGAAAAACTCCAGGTACAAATATTATGTCTCAATAATCTCTCGGTGGTGCGGCATCAGGCAGGCATTCAAGTCGGCTGAAGGTTACCGCCATTTCGCGTTCGGTCACAATCATTAGATTAAGAATTGCGTCGTCGAATTTGCTTAATTATTATATTGGAACTTATTTGTTAGAATTAACTTGGGATATTATCTAAAATATTGATTAGAATTTATTTATTAGAGAATGTTATTAAGAATTTATTTAAAATAAAATTCGGAATGAATTTAAGAAAATTAAGAAAAGTCCAGAATAAAAACCAGAATGAAATTAAGAATAAAGTTAAAAACAAATCAGGAATAATAACTAAATATTTAATTAATGTAACCAGGAAATATTTCGGTTCATCAATTTACTACGTAGGCAGAGTTTAGATTGGCTTTACTAGGAATAATTTCGGTTGGTCAATTCATGACTTAGGTGCCATGTAAAACAAATTTGCCTTTGATGATAGAGTTTGGTTGAATTTATTTAATTAATTGCTTAAAGTAAATTCATTAAAACATTTTAGAGAGATTGAGTAAAATAATTTGAAGTTAAATTTATTAAATTCAGGAAAATAATTCATAATAAAAATTTAATTGTTTAAAATAAAATCATTCGTAATAAAATTAGAATCAGTCAAAATTACTAGAATTGTTCATGTAAATTATTTAGTTCAAAGTAGAAAATAAAATTTGTAAGATAAAACTTCCAAAAATTAATCGCCAAGTGTCGAGCGACAAAGACGCCAGACCGAGCGAGAGCGTCAGCCATCTTGTCCCGCGCGAAGCGTTGAGTAGAGGACACTCAAGGTCGAGACCAAAGTCTTACTGTGTTGCTAGACAGAATATAATCCTCGAATAAAATGAAATAAATGCTAAGTTTTTCATGCAAAACAATAGACAGTAAGATAAAATAATGTAGATAAAATAAAACTCGATTATTCAAGGACAAGTAAAATAGTTTAGTAAAAATAAATTACATGAAATCAATTGATAAAATTTTAGTTATTAATGAAAATTGAGTTCTTAATTAAATAATAATAATATTATTATATTTATTAATTGTTCTAGAATACATAGATCATTATTCATACAATAGGTTAGAAATATAGACTTTGATAGAAAAAAAAAAAAATAAAATAAAATAAAACATAAAATATAGATTTTTTTTTTTTTTTTTTTTAGTTATTCGCACAGGCAAAAAGCTCTAAGTCGACAGCAGCATCGTATAAAATAAAAAAAGGATTTAATAGTACGGGCATCATACCTATTTAAGATTTCATTTACTTCAATTGTGTTGGAATTGTTGGATTTCAAATAGAAGAGTCTGTACGGGTTGTAGAGTGGGCAGTCGTTAATGAGATGTACCAGATCATCTAAGCCACCGGTATTACACACTGGGCACTGTTGTCTCGGGTTGAATTTGTAACACATCTGATCCAGAATTAGATGGTGATAGTAGTTACTGGCAAGTCTAGATTGGAGGAACACCTTTAGCGCTTGAAAGTTGACTCTTCTGTTTAGAAACAAAGACCGTGATCCATCGAGAGGTTTCTGGACTTTCAGTTGCAGGTATTGAGCATTTAATGCTCTACTCAGGTCTTGTTGCAGCAGGTAGTCTTTATATTTCTTCAGAAAATATTGCTTAAAGGGTTTCCACCTTTCCAGGTCAAGTGTGTCTAGCGCTGTGGTTAGTTCTGGAGTGATAAGAGTTATGAGTTTAAACATAGGACTTAGCCAATTATACTTATTGCTTGTAGATTTGTTGTTTAGCACCTGAAGCCGTTTGAGGGCAATTAGAGGATAACGGTCACTATTCATCTCCAGAATATTTATAATCCATTGCCATGCTGCCTTAACTACTTGATACGCTAGGGGTAGCTTGCCAAGTTCAATCCTGATAAGGGCACCCTCTGTGTTTTTGGGAAGACCGAAGATTCTCTTAAAAAAGTCCGTCTGGACTTGCTCTACTAGTTCCAAATATTTTATCGCCCAAATTGGGGCAGCATATAGCAAAGTAGCAGTGACAGTACTGTCAAATAATTTTGCAATACACTCGAATGAGTCCGTTTTTGTCCTGATGAGAGTGGATTGTACCGCACTAATGGCCAATTTTGCTTTACGTATCGCTGCATCTGCTGTAGTACGACTGAATCCTGCTGAAGTAATTTTTAATCCCAGATAATCATATGAACTAGCTATTTCCAGTTTCTTGCCACCATAAAAAAAGTGCGAGTTTCCGGGAGGTTTACCACCACGTCTGCAGATGAGTATTTTGGTTTTAGCAATATTAACCTGTAGCTGATTTTTACTACAGTACAGGTCGAGCAGGTCGATTTTCTTTTGTAAGTCCACAGCTGACGCTGCTAGAATAACCAGGTCATCGACGTATAGTAGCAGCAAGATATCCGTCACCCCGTCAATATTCGTACCTTCACAATTATTGTCTCTTAAAAACGACTCCAGATCAGCAGTAAAGATCAGGAACAGTAGTGGGCTGAGTAGTTCGCCCTGTAACACGCCTTCATTGATATTAAAGTCCTGTGATAACTGGCCGTTGACCTTTAGTCTCAAATGAGCCGAACTATAGATATTTCTCAGTAGCCGAATAAGTTTAGCACTGCATCCGATTTTGTATAATTTTTCCCAGAGAAGCCGATGGTTCACCGAGTCGAACGCCCTCTTAAAATCGACAAACAGAAGATATTGAAGCGCCTTTTTTTTGACGGAGACGACAGTTGAGTGCAGCTTGAAGCGTAAATAGGTTATCCAGGCAGCCCCGACCAGCTCTGAACCCAGATTGAGCTTCTGGGATGATCTTATTGTCTTCCACCCATTTTGTAAGACGGTTATTGATCAGTCCTATAAGTATTTTGGCCAGGTGGTTGACAAGAGCAATACCCCGATAGTTCTGATGATCTAGTTTGTCTCCGTTCTTATAAATCAATGTTAGTAGGGTGGAATACCAGTCAGCAGGTGGAATCTCTTGCCTTAAGATTTTATTTAATAGGCATAGTGTAAACATCTTCCAGTTGTACGGCAAATTTTTCAAAAACTCGTTTTGTATTTTATCGGGCCCGGGTGTTTTGTTACTCTTTGCGCGTGCTAAAACTTTATTTAACTCTTCCATTGTAAAATCTTGATCCATCATAGGATGATCAACTCCAAAGAACATCGTATCATCTGGGACATCTGGGGCGAGTGTAGAAGTGTAAAATTGCTCCCATGATTCCATATTAATTGGGTTTTCTTGCGCTTGCCAGGGTCTGGAGTCTCTTATTGCTTTCCGGAATTCCCTGGAGTTTTTGGTATTTGCTAGATTATCTAACTTTTTTTTGTTTGCTTGAATTTTCTTAGACTTCGTTAGCTTCCTGAAATCTCATTTAGCTTTTCTATATTCATCCAACTCTGATTTATTGAAGCCAGCTGATTTACAGACTTTAAAAAGCTGCTTTACTTTTTTTAAGTTCTCTTTGCATTCGGCATCGAACCACTCTTTTGGACGGTTTATGAGACGCTGAGTGCGTTTAACAGTCATGTCTGTTATTTGTGCTGCATCCTTAATGGCTGACATCAATTTCTCACTGAGTTGTTCAGCATTTTTTTCTTGAAAATTCGTAGCTAATTTATCTGAAAATCTTAGTGCTTCTTTGTATTTTTCTTTGTGCTCGGTTCTCCAGCGGTAGGTGAGCTCGTATGAGCATTTGACAGGCTGTCCTTGTTTGCTATCATAAGTGTGTCGTAGGCTAATGTTTACAGGAAAATGGTCAGAGGGATTTTCCTCTTGTATGACGTTCAAGTCCATGATGTCTGCAATATTGGCCGAGTTGATCCATCCAAAATCTATGACACTACGTCCGATGTGTGCGCACGTATATTGAGCAAGCGAATCAATGATAGTTCTTCCGTTTAATATGACAAAGTCATTGTTATCCATGAAGTCTGCCAGAGTACGACCCCTAGGAGTGATTAGCTCATCTAGTGTACTTCTATCATATGATAACAAGGTACCATTGGTTATCTCTTCAGGTAGTGGTTTAAGAGCGCCCAGTCTTGCATTAAAATCTCCTGTCAGAAGAGTAGGTAGGTGTCCATACGTGTCCGCTATTTCATCTAAAACAGTTTGGAGAAGTTCCAGGGATGTAGCTATATTTTTCGAGGGCCTAAGATAGATACAAGCAACAATACCTTCAAAGTGTGCTGACTTTACGTGAACAAAAATCCAGCTATCCAACTCGTATAGGGTTCTTGCTTGATCTCGTTTCTTACAAAAATAGCAAGTCCACCATTAGCTCTTCCGGTACTTTTCTCTTTTATTGCATTAGCACAGAATGAGTGATAGTTTTGCCAGCCGTTTGGTAGTTTAACTGTACAGGTTGACCAAGTTTCACATACGCATAAAATATCAGCTTCTGGTGACGTAATATGATTGAATAGGTTGCTGCTGCCGCTGGAGTTCCATGCGAAGATAATTAGTTTTTTGACGGCTGGGCTGAGGGGGGTTGAGAGTGGTTAGTATTATTGGTTTTCTTGCGTATAGGACGAATTTGAGTTACAGTGTTCGACTGAGTATCCCAGAGGTACCAGTCGTCATTAACTTTGAGCTTATTGCCCTTCAGAATTGTTTTCATTCCAAGCTTATTTTTTTCCTCGGCGAATTTTATCAAATTGCTTCTCTGAAACAGTTCCCTGTTTGTAAGATCATGCGTGATAGAGAGTTTACTGGTTTTCAGTGCCGAGGCCTTAGTGGACATAATCCTCTCTTTGGCTTCTAGAGATCCCAGCTTAACTTGGATTACTTTGCCTAGTTTGTCGACTGGGTTAATGTCCATTAATTCAGCCGTCGCGTTGAACTTATCCTGAAGAAAGCTCTGAGCATCCTTCTTCAAATTAGCCAGACTCCATGTGTGATTTTTGATAATTATGTTCATACGTTTGGCTTCTTTCTCTTGTGTGTCTATGAGTTGGTCAAGTCTTTTCATTTTCGTTTCCAAGAGAGTTATGTTAGGATTAACATCTTGAGCCAAGTTCACTGAGTCGCCTGCTCTATGTGATTTTAGGTCCTCCTTGATTGTTGCTATCTCAGTCTCAAGTACCAGCTGTTTGGATTGCAGCTCTTGCCATTTGCTGTCCCAGGTTGTTTCAAAATTCTTGAGTTCTTTCTTTAGTCCAGTGATTGCAGATGAATTACTCTCCTGAGCCGTTTCTATTCTTTTCTCCAATTTTACAGTATTATTCGCAGCCTCAGTTCTCAGTAATTTAATTTCCTTAGTGAGTGTAAGAAGGATTGATTTGACGTTCACGTTAGAGTCAACCAGATCATCTTGATTATCAGCAAAGAAAGAGTCAAAAAGCATCAGCTCGGAGTGGGCATTTAATGTACCATGGTTAGCGTCTTGGATCGGAGTCGCGTTGCCAAGTTTTTTCAGAGACTGTACCACATTCTCGGATTCTGAATCAGGAGAGCTGTTCCCCTTTTCCATGTCTCTTTTCCGTTTCAGTAGGTCTCTTATATCCCCGTCTGACCTTGCTCTTTCTTTGGTAAAAGTCAGAGGTTTTAGCTTCCTCCCAGGTTTAGCTTTTTTGGGTTGTGTGGGAGTTTGAGGTTTTCCTGTCCCTTGCGGAGGCTCGGTGTTTTTGACAATGATTCTAGGTGGGTTGTCAGCGAGCAATTGCTTAATTTCAACTCCAGCAAACATTCTAACCTCAAAAACCGTTAGCACTCTACATTAAACACAGATACAGTTAATTATCACTTAAAATTAGTTAATGTTTACACACTGAATTGCACAGATAATTTTTATAGACTATAGACTTTGTAAGAAATAAATTTTCAATTAATTTTTAATAAGTTTAATTTATATAATTAGTCAGAATATCAATCAGCACGTGTTTACAGTTCGGCCATCTTTTTCTAACCTCTTCTTAATTAAATAAATAATTCTTAAATTCTGGGAAAATAATTCAGACTAAAATTATAAACGATCTAATGAAACATTTAATAATTTCTGGTAAAATAAATTAGACAAAGTAAAATAATTTAATGAAACAATTTATAAAATAAATTAAGTAAATTCAGTAATAATAATTTTGTAAATACTCGGAAGTAACAAATACGTTGTTAGCAGATTATTAAGACCTCTGTCAAAAGATTTTAACCTATTAATACAAGATACGAAGACCTCTTGATATTAAATATTTAATTGTTGTCTTATTAAGAACACGACATTAAATTAATTAGAAATTTTAAACCGATAATTATATTAATTGGGAATTTAGATTAGGAATTTTATGAATAAGTTAGGAACTTGGATTTAGTAAATTGATGAATGGAATAAATGGATCCAGGTATTAAATCGGATCTCATTTAATTCTGAGAAATTAATTTTGTAAATTTGGAAATAAATTTGGAAAAGTTAATTTGTAAAATCCGGGGAAATATTTAGTGGGTTTGGAAAATAATGGTGTGGGTAGTTTAGTATTAAATATTGTAGTGTTGCCTAGGGATTCATGGTATCTTTCTCTGCTTCCTGGGCACATTTAGAGTCCTTTGCATAGACGCCCGGGTTGGGGGTGCAATAGGCATAAGTTGGAAAATAAATATTGTGGGGGTGTGGATAAAATAATATTGCAGTGTAGCCTAGGGATTCATGATATCCTCCTCTGCTTCCTGGGCACACTTAGAAACCGTTTTATAGACGCCTGGCTTGGGGTACAACGGTAGTACTGTGGGAAAAATCCAGTGGCGCCTTGAATAAATTTAGAGGCGACCAAGAGGGCGGTGGATCCCTGTTTCAGTCTATATGTATGTGTGTGTGTGTGTGTTTTTTTTTGGGGGGGGGAATCCTTTTTACGGATTCTAGGCATAGTTGTTGGCCTGGATATGTGGTGATTCGACGCAGCGTCACACTAAAACTCGACGCTGACGCCCCTACCCACTAAACCCTAAACCCCTTTCTCTTTTATCTTCTGATCCCCCATGGTACCGCCGTAAGGCATTTCTTCGCGGGGGGAGGAATTAGCTGCCGCTCTTCCTTCTAGTGGCTAAGATGTTATTTCTTCCTTCTAGTTTCTGTCATTCGCTCTTTTTCTTTCAATGGAACGCAGCTCTGTAAGGACTTCTGTGGCAAAAGTGCTTGTAGCGTTCCAAGCAGTTTGACTCGATAACATTGTCTCTACTATTGTCTCTGGTTGGATTCTCCGGTTCAGGATCCTTTCTAACTCATTCCGCTGAAGATCAAAACGTGGACACGCAAAGAAAACGTGCTCTGCGTCCTCAATAACTCCTGGACAAGACGGGCACTCCGGAGAATCGTCATGCTTAAAGCGGTGCAGGTATTCTCGAAAGCACCCATGTCCAGACAACATCTGCGTTAGATAATAGTTGACTTCGCCATGATTTCGGTTCAGCCAAACATCGATCTTTGGTATGAGGTGGTATGTCCATCTTCCATTTGCTGCGGCGTCCCACTCAAGTTGCCATCGCGAGATGCTGTGCTGCCGTTCTTCTGTTCTAAGTTCTTCAGGGCTCAGTGTAGTTGACCTTTTTCGTTGGTAAAGGGCCCGTCTTCCCTCTGCTAGTACTCTAAGCGGCAGGGTTCCAGATTAAGAGCCCAGGTACCGAATGTATGGTTGTGATGTGATCTCATGTTCTCCAACTTGTAACTTGTTGGTTTCTATCGCTTTCCTGCTGGTAATGAGCACTGCTTCGGTTTTATGCTTAGCTAGTTGCAAGTTCACCGTATCCATCCATAAGTTAATCCGTCTAAATGTAATGTCGAAGGCCAGATTTATCTCTTCAAGGTGCTTCGCGACAATCACCACAGCAACATCATCTGCATATGCTACCAGTTTCACTTCTGCTGGCAATGCTATTTTCAGGAGACCATCATACATGATGTTCCATAGCAGAGGACCTAGAACTGAGCCCTGTGGTACACCACCAGTAATATCATACTCCTTAGGACCACTTTTTGTGTCGTATTTGAGGACTCTGTTTGTGAAGTAGCTTGCTACCATTCTACGCAAATACCCTGGGACTCGTTTTTTTTCAAGGGCGCGCATTACACAGTCCCAGTTAGCAGAGTTAAAAGCATTTTTGATGTCTAATGCAGCCACCAAACAATACTTTTTTGTGCTGCGATTCCATCTCTTTCCCGCGATCGCATCCTTAGCTGTGTTGATGACCAGGTTTATTACATCCAGGGTTGACCGTCCTTTTCGGAAACCAAATTGGTTATCTGCCAGGAGTGGATCAACTACTGCTTCTATTCTTTGGAGAATTATCCGCTCTAATATCTTACCCGCCGTGTCTAACATGCAGAGTAGACGGTAGGATGATGGTTCGTCAGGTGGCTTCTTTCCTTTCGGGAGCAGTACAAGTCTTTGCCACTTCCACCTTTCAGGGAAGACTCCTTCTTTGAGACACTCATTGCAGGTATCTATGAATAATGCCGGCGCTGCTTTAGAGGATGTTTTTAAAGCAATGTTTGAAATTCCATCCAATCCTGGCGACTTATTATTCCCTACACGATCGCATGCCTCTATCAATTTCTCCTCTGTGACAGGTGGGATGTCTTCAGGGTCAAACTGCAGTGATGAATGGATCAACTCACGTTGCTGAGGAAACAACGTACAGACGATTCTCTCTAGTAGCTGTGGGCAGGTAGGTGACGGCATTAGTTGATATTTCAGGTGGGTCATGACCACCGTGTACGGTCTGCCCCACAGATCGTTCTCTACCTCTTCGACGAGTTCCTTCCAACAACATCTTTTGCTATCTTTGATGGCTTTATTCAATTCTCGACGGGCCTTTTAATACTTTGCCACCAGTTCTGCGGAGTTAGGTCGACGGTAGCCACGCTGAGATATTCTTCTTCTTTTAAAACACTCTTTACGAAGAGCGCTGATGTTATCGTTCCACCAGTATACCGAAGATCGGTGATTCATGCCACATTTCCGGGGCATACAAGCGTCGCAGACCTGGGTCACTCTCTTCATTAG